TTCACACCAATGTAGTATTACAGGATATTACTTTGAGGAGAAAAAAATGAATCTAATTAAATAGAAATACATTTTCAAATGAGGAAAATGAGCTCTGAATCAGACCCAGTTAAACACAATCTATGATGAACTGCAGTTCTTATTTAAATGATCTATGCATTTTTTGCTGTAATTTTGAAAGCTGTTAAATGCAGTACTGAAATATATGTGCAGTGACTCCTCAATGCTTTGTCTCCGTGCTTCAATATTTTTATGATAATTTTGTCTTATAATGCTCAACCCTGTCCACACTTGAATTTAAGAGATTTAGGCATGTTAATGGATGTATATGCACTAAACAGACAAATGAAGATGCCTAACAGCACAATAGATTAACAATTTGTTAATAATAATATGGAGTGCTCGGTTCAAATTATAATAGGAGTCAACAAGAATTAAATGGATAACGTCACTAAACATAGTGTCCCATTCTCCATTATATCACTTAATGACTTCCAGTCCTAATTAATTTGTTTGATACTTATTAACACAAACTTCATAATTTAACTGTTTGTGATACCGTAGTAATTATTCATTCCTTGTACCATCTACTGTAGTTAACATGGTATCAGAATGGATAATACGCATATATGTCTTAAAATAAGAGTAAATGATTGCTCATTGTGTCAAACATACTGTAGGATTTTTCAATAGGGAAACTACTATTGAAGAGTAAATTTGGGGGAGTACCAAGAATGCCAGAATTTTGATGAGAAGCACATGATGTATTTTCGCCTAAATACTTTATGCTGATTACTTATTTTAAGTAATTTAAATGTAACAAACCTCTCTCTTTCACTCTGTATAAAAAGAGAGGTTCATTTCTAGAGTGGTGTGAGTAAAATCCTGCATGCAGCGTCCTGAGAGTGACATAACTCACACTCCTTGGGCCAGACCAATTTGTTACATTAACATTAACATTAAAAATTGTCAACTTAGAACAAGATATTGGCATTTATGAAAAAAGGAGGTGGAGTGGTGGTTGGCATTGCTACCTCATGACTGTTGAACCCTGGGTGTGATTCTAGTCTGATGTGCACTATGTGAGACATCTGCATGTTCTTCCAGTGTCTGTCATGCCGGCTAGGTTAAATGGTGTGTCCAAACTGTCCCTGTGGGCTTCTGTGAGTGCACCCTGTAAAGGACTGGTAACCCATTCAGAGTTCAGTCCTGCTTTGCACCATACCGTGGACATCACAACCTTATTAGGAATAAAAACACTTTCCTGATGGAAATGGAGAGTGAATAACAGAGTGGAGCTGTTAGTTTAATTTACAATTTTAAATAGGGTCATTGCACTGTTAAAAACACACTAAGCACAACAAAATCTCATTGGGCACATACTGTACATCATGTTAATAACATTTAAATAGTAAGCAGGAAGGTTTGTGGTCTATTAGTTAAGTATTATTTCTTGGGAAGAAAATGCTTAGCTCAAGTTGGGAAACTTCATAAAAATACTGTTTGGTGTTTGAGTTGAAATAAAAATGGCAATAGTGAAACATATGAACAAAACCCTCTTGCCTGGCTGCTCCTGGCATGATAAGAGGCGGCTGGTATGTGAGTAACCTCGTGGAAAATGAGATGTTTGGTTACAACAATTAGCAGGCTAGTCCAGAGAAACCAGGAAACTATTTGAGGGATGTTATGGCCAGTGAGAGGGAGTACTCCAAGAATATTTAGACAATCCCTTTTAGGCTGAATGGTATGATTTAAAATGGTAGTTACATACCAATTGCAAAATATTATTAACTGTCCTTTTCTTCATTCTCTTCAAGAGGAAGTATCATCTGAAACTCTGAGTCTTCGAACAAGTGTGTTTACGCAACAGTGCATTTTAACAATGCTTAAATGTGTCTTGATATCCTGAATTTTTAAGGGAGGTTAATTTTTTTCCAACACACCTATGATATTGAGTGCAATTACCGATCAATTGTTTATTGTATCAATCTGTTATATGCTATACATTTACAATGAATTGAAGCCCTGTATTCTGTAGGCAGCTAAATATATTTTGCAGTTAGCATGCAATTAATGAGTATCACATTCTTTAACTCATCTGTCATGGTATTTAGAGGGGGATTTCCTGTAAATCCTGTTCATTAGATATGATCCATCTGTACAATGGTGTTCAGATTGTTGTAGCTACACCAAGAAGAAATTCAAGATATTATCCCCTGTAGATTGCCATTTGCATGAAAATGATCTGCACACTCAGATTTCTTTTTGGAACCACCAAACTGGCAGCAGAGAATGTGGTAAAATTTTATTTTATTCATCAATTAATTTGGACTCTTGAAAACATGTAATTTAATTTCATTACTATAATTTCTTCATGATCCACATCTCCATACATTAATTAAATAGAGATATGTTTCATCTGCAATCATGCATCCTGTAAAAGTACCTTTGTACTGTACCTCTGGGAGATGCTGTTCTTAAACTCCTCTAGCTTAAAGTTGACAAGCCTGAAATGTTATCTTCACAACCAAAATGGCATGATGTCAGTTAGATTCCTGTCACTACACTGTGTTGCTCTTTTAAAAGGGTGATGGAGCAAACGTTGAGTGCAGAAGAACATCTGCAACGACAATCTTCAGGAAGTATATGGCAGATTGTATAGAACCTACATTGACAAAAGTCAGCCCGAAATAATGAGTGAATCTCTTTATCTTACTGTTTCTCACATCATTTTTTATAATATTACAAAGGGACAAATCTAAATAAATATAGAATACTCTGAACAATACTTAAAGAAGTGAAATTCAATGAAAAAAAGAATATCTACTGTAGTGTTAGCATTTTTATCATTTCTTAAGTAAATGCTATAGGGTTTGATTGTTACAAGACTTCTTGTAGAAGTAAGCTCTATAACTCAGTAGGTCTGCCTCAGTGTCTTTATATACTCTCCAGCTAGATTATGAAAATCAGCTGTGGTTAATTTGGAACATAAAGTGACAATTTATAAAATATATAGAAATTAATTGTGAAGATGCACACCCTGAGGTCAAAGACCAACTGGAAATGGTGAAAATGTTCATCATTGTTTAAAAAAATTATCTATAAGATATTAGAGGAAGTCCCAAGTCTGGTTCTCCAGAATACTGCAGATTCAAAGAGAAATGGAATTCAGAGCTCTCCAACTCACAAAACAAAACACTATAATTACAAGATTTGTATAATTACAAAATAATGGTAATTAATCAAAATTAAAACAGCTGTCAAAAACAGCACTGTGGCACTCTTTTCCAGCAAAAACATAAAGCTGTCTATAAAATGTCAACAATATCACACAACATATGAGTGGACTTTATGGGATTCTGAAATGAAAAGCCACATAAATTGTGCTCTTTTCCTGTAAATAAGTAGTTCTTCACCCTGGTTGTAATGTTTTGGTAGAATTTCATGTGAAAGGAATTCACCTGCCTAGATCATTTTTTTTTATTGGTTTCCTTCAAAGAACTAAAACTTTGATATAGAACCACAAAATGCAATAGTTCCTGAAAGAAAGTACAGGCAAAGTTCATGAGAAGGACAAATGTCTAGGGTGCAGAGATTAACTGGACTCAAGCAATTGAGGATGCCCCAAACTTCAAGAGCACTTGTAGATTTCTTATTAATGTCACACTTTCACACTAACTTTTGAATTTTCAATCATAAAATCAGTTAAAATAATAAAAGCAATGAGATTCTTTTCATCATTGTCGCAGCCAAGTGGAAAATAACTTTGCATTTCAAATGGCAGTTCATATAAAACAGTCTACTTTTCTTCTGCCAAATAATTGCAAGTTTAACATTTTGAATAGGAATGAGGGAAAGAAGACACGTATGATATTTTAAAAATCCAAACCACACAGACAGAGAAAGACAAAGGCAGGGAACCATGAAATCCATTTTGATAACATGCATGCTGATGTGTCACTCAAGTACTATATTGAGATTCATGTGTGCCAATTAGTGCAAATTATCTTTAACACCAGTCCATTGTAAAAGAAATACAACTGATTACACACTTTTCCTGCAAAGCTAGTATATATCACACCAAAAGCATAACTTGTTTCTTTGGGCTGTTAGTTTACTTTGTAGTGTAAATACCTTCTTTATTCTTGAACAGATGAAAAGGAATCTAAACTGACATTAAAGACTTAAAAACATGATCAATTTCTCCTCCAGAACCAAACTCCATATTTTGATTTGGCTGTTTCGTTAACAGCATCTTGTGAACAGCAAAACCTGTTTTTCTTGACCCTACAAAAACATTCTCCACTTTTTTTTTTTACTGTGTCAGACTTTAAGGGGTTATAAAGTCCCCAAGTCATTGCTCACATTAGAATGTGAAGATTTTTAATTTTCTCTCTCAGCAATCATGATGACTGTGAATAAAAACTTATCGAAGGAATAAAAGAGTTTGATGAAAATGATGACAAAATTTGAAATGTTGTGAAATCACTTAAATTAAGAGACACTCTCCCATGACTCCATGGTACATTACCTCAAAAAAACACCTTCAGATGTTCTTTCAATGAAGTGATTGGTACAAATCCTAACACTATCCCATTAGACAGTACCTGCCAATGTCTTTGCGTCTGGGCAATGGATAATGTATCTGGATATAATGAACAGTACTTATTGAAAGAGCCAGACATTTTGGCAGAGACAGTGGTCACATTGTTAGTAATCATCTCTTTATTTTTCCAATAAGATACTTTGCATTGCTTTGGAGAAAAAAAAAACATCTCAATATTTCTAGTGTATTTATTTATAATGTATTTCTCTCATACATTATCCTCTTATACTAATAAAGACTCCATTGCTTTGCCAGGTTAACATGATTCAAATACAACCTAGTGATGTACGGTAAGTAAACAGCAGCTACCTTGGAGAAAAGAGGAAAAAATATAATATAGTTAAATGAATAGGAAAATAAAACAAACATTAAGAAATTTAATTCAGTGACTTACCATAAACATGGAATGGAAGTTGCTCAGATCAATGAAGAGCTCCTCTATTGATGTTTTCTTTGGGTCTATGACAAAATATTCCACCAGGTTCTGTTGGAGTGTGCACATGTTGTTGTGCATTATAGCCAGCTTCTGGTACTGCTCTCTGCCATACATGGCAAAACTGTAAAGCCTCTGTTAAGGACACATCAATGTTGGTGCCAAAATATTAGCATTAATTAAAGCCAACACACTTTTCATGCTGATGAAAAGCAAGAAATGCAGTACAGAAACATGAGGTACATGCAGTACAAGAAGCAAAATGTGAAGAACACAGAAGAAAACAAAAATAAGATGTTTTTTTCCCCTTATAACTAGCGCCTTGTTATTACTAATAAGAATTTATAATCTGACATAAGCAGGTGCAATACTATCTGAAATAAAAGCAGAATTATACAAAACAGTGGATTATTTCATTTTAAGCTTTTTTATATCTTATTTTCCTAAAGCAAAAATGCTTACAAAGTGTATTAGCTTACAAAGTGTAAAAGAGTTTTAAAAATATGCTGAATAAATAAATATTTCCTTGTACACTACAACCATAATTAAGGATGTGTATAACTGTGTTTTCTTAACTACATTAAATTAGCAATTTATTACAATTAAAAAAAACAAAGATAGCAGTTCTTCTCCTTTTCAAGAAAAAAAAAACAAGTAGTAATGTGAACAACAAGGATTAAATTTTGTTAAAATGTCAAAACATGAATGAGAGAGCACTGAAGCAGATCAAAGACCAGAAATGACTTAACAGTGTGAAACAAATGCTGATATGAAATGGGTATTTAGGGCTGAAAACAGGAAAAAAAATGTTTTCTTTTTGTTTTCCATTTCTATAGAGGACAGGAAAAACTGCTTTAACAGATCGGTTTGACTACTGCTGGGCCACAGCAATCCACCTCAACCAACAGAGAGAGAAAACTAAATATTTTGCTACCACGTATATTGTGCTTTTTTTCTTTGAATTTTGGATTTCAATCACTTTTTTATTCCCGTATTTTACCAGGTAAGTCAATTGAGAAAAAAATTCTCATTTACAATAACAACCTCGAGACCCATTTATCTCAGGGCATTTACTGGAGCAATCAGTGAAATACCTCGCTCAAGGGCACAACTCCCACGCACAGAAGGTTCTGTACTCTTTGCATGGTCACTTTTATGGTTTAGAAATGCAATGTACATCTAAACGTTCACATCCTGAATGTCAAATGCAGAGTGTGTATTTTCTTTCTGAATGAAAAAGTACAACAAAAATAGCAATGCATATATATATATGTTAGCATTCCATTTACTGCAGAACACACACTATTTCTTGCAATGGGCCTCAGAGGCTTTTGTGGGTTACTTAAAAAACCCAAAGGACTCCAGCATGGGAATTTTTTTTTTCATATTTATAGCACGGAAGTAATGAGGAAGACAGACAACATATGAAAAGTCTTTGGGAATTCCAAATTGTGTAATAAAACAGCAAACATCCTACAGTCTGTTGTACAATTAAGATGGCATTTATGTTAATTGCATATATAATTTTATTTAGCATGAAAGACATTTCTGCTTTTCAGTAATATTCAGCATTGAATTGAGATGAATAAGAATAAGGGGCAGTATTTTGTATTATCAAGTTTGCTAGAAATATATACAGTATATTTGAAAACTCTTGAACATGAAGGAAATGTATTCTAGTTCACACAAAAAACTGGGATTATGGCAGGACAGGGGCAGGGAAATTGGGAGTCAAAAGTAAGTAACATAACTTTTTTAAATGCATGGGCTGCTTTTAACAGCATTCTTCTTCACAAGATTAATATGATCATTTTAACAGGGTCTTCAAAGATGGATATTTCTGAATCCTAATTTATTTGGCTTACAGCACTATTAATACCAAACTAATTCTTCAGTTTCACTTTTATCTATTGCTTTAGAAATAATGAACCTCGGGAGAAATGGAGAAACAAACAGTACATTTGAGTTAAAATAAGTTACTGTAAGTATATTTAAGGTTATGGCACAAATAATATGGTATTTACATGTGTGATTTGAACTTGTAATTCAGGCTAATAACATTTTCAAGAACATTTTGTATTAAATCTGCAGAAAATTTTCAAGTTATCTGATAATTAAATGCAATGTTAAGATTTAACAAGTTAGGCATTAATTCAATCATGCAGCTATGGAAAAAGGACCTACAGTTTAAACTCAATGAAATAGTGCTCAGTGATGATATATATTTTTTTTAATTTATCATTTTAATGTTAACTCATGCCCTATTGGCTTTATTAAAATTTTAAAAACATTGCTGAATCATTTATGACTTCTAGTCTGGGCACTATCCATATTCTTTCCTCTTTAGAAGACAAATTTAAAGAAGAAGAAAATATTTTATTCCTTACATTAGGATTCCTTAAATGAGGAATCATGAGTACCATTTTAAGTTTGTTTCATCACTGCAACTATTAATAATTCAAAGTCATAAAAAAATAAATGTTGGATTTTTGTGAGGCCAGTAAAAAAAAAAACTAAAGTTATTCTTATGAGGGAAAAAAATAGCATACAAAGATACAACAGACAAAATACAAAGATCGACAACATCCGGCATCACATTCTCTCGACAACCTCTTACCTCCACACCTCCTCCCTGCTTGCCTTGATTTACTGGATCACTTCTAACTTCTCTCTACTTGACTCTGTACCCCTCAGTAAACTGGTTTTGCATATGAAATCCACAACCTGTCTATTAGATCCTATTTCCACCTCTTTGTTTCAATCCTGTTTCACTACTTTCTGCCCCATTGCCAGCAGTATAATAAATGAACCCTTGAGCACTGGTGTGATACCAACGGCCTTCTTAACCGCTCCTATTACCCCTGTACAAAAAAACAAACAAATGATTCTTTACAATCTAAACAATTTCCACCCCATTTCCAACTTACCCCTGTGCCAAAAGGCCAAACATGGATCTGGACAATATGAAAAACTTTCGCCCCATATCCAATGTACCCTTTCTTGCAAAAAATCTAGAACATGCTGTTAATATTCAGTTAAATAACCATCTAATTGCAAATAACCTCTTCGAAACCCTCAAATCTGGTATCCGACAACTTCATAGCACAGAAACTACCCTGGTCAAAGTCACTAATGATGTTCTCATGGTTTCTGATTCTCTCTTTCCATCCTTCTTCTTCTCAACGTCAGAGCTGCTTTTGTCACTATTAACCATGATATTTTTCTTTCTCGTATTGAGACTATGTTTGGAGTTACTGAGTTACTGACACTGCTCTTAAATGGTTAATGTCTTACTTCACTGATCTATGTCACTTTGTCTCTCTTAGAGAATTTAACTCTGAAATTGGATTCGTTCAGTCTGGTGTTCTTCAGAGCTTGATATTGGGCCCCCAACCTTTTAGTTTTTACATGTTCCCACTTGTTTAACTTTTAAGGTTGCATGGCCTAAATTATTATTTCTACGCTGATGGTACTCAAATCTGTGTCCAGACCAAACCTGTAACTGATGTGGCTGTCTCTGTTCTCTCTAATTGGATCTCTGACATAGATGACTCAAAACTTCCTTTATCTAAATTGTGACTAGACTGCACATCAACTTTGTAAAGCCAATGCAGTAACCCTATCTGTGCATGGTACTGTACTTGAGCTTCAGTCAAAATTGAAAATCCAGGGGGTGAGATCTGATTCATGATTGATGTTTGACCCACATGTTCAACATACTGTCAAAACATCATTCTTTCACCTCAGAAAAATCGCCAGACTACGTTCTATGTTGTCGCTAACTGTTGCTGAAAAGTTGGTCAACACATTTGTCTTGTTTCGAATTGATTACTGTAATGCTCTACTCGCTGGGGTTTCTAAATTCACATTGAACAAACTTCAGTATGTCCAGAATTTGGCTGCCTGACCAGGTCAAGTGCAAGCGATCACATACTCCTATCCTGCAGTCCTTGCACAGCTTCCTGTCAGGTTTTGTGTCAACTTCCAAATCCTCATGATCACTTATAACGCACTGCATGGCTTGGCTCCTCAGTACCTGTCTGAGCTACTATCGTCCTACTCTCACCTCACGACCTTCGCTCTTCTAATTCTGGTCTCCTGTCTATTCCTCATGCCCATCTACACTCTATGGGTGACAGGGCCTTCTCCTGTTATGGCCCAAAGCTCTGGAACTCTATCATTAAGAATATCAGTCACCTTTTATAAGGTCTTTCAAATCTAGACTCAAAACCTTCTTTTTTAGAAGGGCCCTTACTTAACTTTATATATCCCATTGCTCCTACAGTATTCCATAACCCCATCTACTATCTTCTCTTATTGTGTATTTTCATTGTGTATACAGTGGTGTGAAAAAGTTTTTGCCCCCTTCCTGATTTCTTATTTTTTTCATGTTTGTCACACTGAAATGTTTCAGATCATCAAACAAATTGAAATTTTAGACAAAGATAACACAAGTAAACACAAAATGCAGTTTTTAAATGAAGGTTTTTATTATTAAGGGAAAAAAAATACAAACCTACATGGCCCTGTGTGAAAAAGTGATTGCCCCCTAAATCTAATAACTGGCTGGGCCACCCTTAGCAGCAACAACTGCAATCAAGCATTTGCGATAACTGGCAATGAGTCTTTTACAGCACTGTGGAGAAATTTTGGCCCACTCATCTTTGCAGAATTGTTGTAATTCAGCCACATTGGTGGGTTTTCGAGCCTTAACCGCTTTTTTAAGGTCATGCCACAACATCTCAATCGGATTCAGGTCAGGACTTTGACTAGGCCACTCCAAAGTCTTCATTTTGTTTTTCTTAAGCCATTCAGAGGTGGAATTGTTGGTGTGTTTTGGACCACTGTCCTGCTGCAGAACCCAAGTGCGCGTTAGCCTGAGGTCACGAACAGGCCGGAAATTCTCCTTCAGGATTTTTTGGTAGACAGCAGAATTCATGGTGCCATTTACCACATCAAGTCTTCCATGTCCTGAAGCAGCAAAACAGCCCCAGACCATCACACTACCACCACCATATTTTACTGTTGGTATGATGTTCCTTTTCTGAAATGCTGTGTTACTTTTACGCCAGATGTAATGGGACACACACCTTCCAAAAAGTTCAACCTTTGTCTCGTCAGTCCAC